GAGCGCAGCCTCAGACACGCTGAGTGCTCCGTGTCCCCGGAGCCTCGCAGGCATTTCCATCGTGGAGCTCTCGCTCTGTAGTGAACCCGGACCTAATGCCAGGCCCTGCCCCTGCTCTAGCACCTTCCACGTGGACACAGCCAGGCCGCTGCCTCTGAAGCCGTCACCCGTCGTGGTGAACAGGGCTCCTGCGAGGTCGGGGCCCTTCTGTTGGGAAGCAGTCAGGCGGCCATTGCCTCCACCTCAGCCGCTGGGGCCCCTCTCCTCCTCAGCTGCTGTGGTGGACATAGCGGGCGGCAGGCGAGCTGGGAGGGTCCACTCCTGGTGCCCCAGAGGGTGTGGCCTCAGGCCTCTGCTTCTGGAGGGTCTGTCCCGGTGAGAGCTGTGGGGCGGGCGGAACAGGAGACAGCCCTGCCTAGCTGGGCTGTTCAAACCGTGTTCCGTGGAACCCTGGAGCCCTCGGATGTTCAGGGACTGCTCTGTGATGGCCAAAGGCCTCCACTGCCTTTCAGAGTAAACCTTGAACCACTGGAAACTAGCCGGTCCTCTGCCCACTGTCGCAGCGTTCCCACCCAGAGGCCACTTGCCCGTTGGGCTGCGCTCCCTCCTGAGGCTGTGCGTGGCCGGCTGCGGCCTGTCCCCGGTCCTGCCACGCTGTCCCTGGTCCTGCTGCCCCAGCAGCCCCGGCGCAGATGCAGGAGCGGACGGGCTGCTGGCTGGCGCGGCCTCGCCTCCCTGCCCGTTTCAGTGTGTCTCTTACTGTGCTTTCTGTCGGGCATCTTCAGTCAGCGGGAGACTTTCCTTCCAGTTCAAATTCACTTCAATCCGTTTTTATTCGTGTGTTTTATGTTGGGACTCCTTGCAAAAAGCCACTTGAAAGAAAGGAGTTACAGCTGCAAACGGAACATGACCGCCCCTCTTTCCTGCCAGGTCCTCTTTCTTGATCATCCAAAGAAGAAGGTTCGGGACACACAGAAATACAAGCCTTTCAAGCGTCAGGTGCAGGTACGGCAGCCCCTGCGTGGCGGTTCTGTTCTGCTGGGTCACACAGTTGTTGCTTCTGGTCCCTGGTGATGATGACGGGTTAAAGGTTTTTGTTTTCCCTTTGGCGGAGGGCCGGTTCTGTCCACCTCCCATCTCTGAGGAGCCCAGCAGAGGGCGCCCCTGGGAGGCGCAGGGAGCCGGGGCTGGAGGGCGGAGCTGCAGGTCACACCTCCCCCCACTCCCGGGTGCTTCCCAGTGAAGGTTGCTGGGGGTGGCGGTGCCTGCAGGCCCTCTGCCCAGCGCACTGTGCTGTCTCCCCAGAGTGGAAGGCCGTCGCTGAAGCTGCTGGCGGAGAGGATCCTGGGCGTGCGGGTGCAGCAGGCAGAGCACTGCTCGGTGAGTGGCCTGGGGGGCAGACACCACGGGCCTCGGCAACTTTAGGAGGCTGTGGCTCCATAAAAAATGACCTGGCACAGTGGGCTCACCAGGGGTGAGATTCTAGACGTTCATATTAACGGAGCACAACCCTAAAAAACTATTGTAATTGGAGAAAATGACCCTCGTTAGGGCTGTGTGGCCCAGGCCAGCCGGCCCCCTCAGCCCTCTGTGACAGGCCCTGGAACCCGCCGGCCACCGCGCTGTGGTTGTCAGCCCTGGGCCCTTTCTGCCCGGTGTCTTGTGCCCGGCACCAAGCTCAGCGCACACCAGCCTCCGCAGGCATCCCTAGTGTCTGCTGTGGTCCGAGGCTCCTCCCAGGAGCACGGGGGCCCTTAATGCCTCAGCTTCCTCCTGGGACGGGGGCACCGGGTCCCAGGACGCTCCATGCTGGCCTCCACTCACCCGGGATCTGGCTCAGCTCGGGAATCGGGGTTGGCTGTCATGGGACCATGCGTGTCACCTGCTGGACAGTCATGGGTGTCCGTGTCACCTAGATTCAGGATGCCCAGGCAGCAATGAGACTCTACGTCACGGTGAAGAAGGAGTGGGAACGCGCAGTCCGGGACAGGCGCCCCGCCGCGGCCGCCACTCCAGACCACGGCAGGGATGACGCGTAGCGGAGCCCACCACCCCCATGGCAGCGTTTGCGTCCACAGGCACTTGTGACCAAGTCACAGGACAGTCTCCCCAGAGTGGCGACAGATCGTGGCAGCGGGATGGGGCGCTCACGCTGCTGAGGGCCACCTCTGTCCTCCGATGGGAAAAGCGTTTGTCCTGGGCACAGCCAGCAGGTGGCGCTGGGACCCATGTGCAGCCGCTCCGCTGCGTTCACCGGGTCCCAGGGCAGGAAGCCGCCAGGTGTTCACGCCTTCCTCCAAGGAGGCCCTTCTCTCCGCCGCAGCGATGGGGAGTCTGCAGCCTCGAGAAGCCCAGACCACGGTCCGCAGCCAGCTCAGCCACGGCCTCGCCGAGGCGTTTCCTGTGGCCACCCCGGGACTGGAGCTGGTGGCGGTGTTCCTCCCTCCCCACCCCACTGCCCGCCAAGCTTAACCCCAGGGTCAGCCGCGCTGTGGCCAGGTCGGCTCAGGCTGCCCCGCGTGGTGGGCTGTTAGCACTGAAGTGCTTCCCGGGCCGGAGCTGACATGCCTATCTCGGGCGATCTGACCAGGGTCTCAGAACGCAGGGAGCACCGGGTGCCTGAAGCCCAAGCTTGCCTGCGCCGACAGGTACAAAGGACCCAACCCACTGAGGACGTGAGTGGACGTGAGTGAGGCTTTACTTGAGGTGGAGCTGCGGGGGCCTGTGTCGTCCTCGCTCACAACGGTCTGGAAGGGTTGTGGTATCGGGCTGAGGCCCGTACAGAGACGCGTCCAGCAGCTGCCCCTTCCCTCCCCCCCGCAAGGAAAAGGCCGGTTCAGCAGGCAGCTCCACGCGGCAGGACAGAAGGCACCGGGCAGGGGGCGGGGACCGAGAGGTGTGGGCTCCCTGGGGCCGCAGCAGACGGTTCCTGGGCAGAGCAGGGCAGCCTGGCCGCCTCCAGCCTCTGCAGCACCTTCTCTGCGTAAGAGACCAGCTCCTGGGAGAGGAGACAGTGGGCCCGTCTCAGCTCCACAAGCAGGTGTCTGTGACTTCCCTGGCCTTTGAAGAGCTGATGGCTGCCCGCTAAGTTCAGACGCAGACCCACAGGCAGCAGGAGGCGCTGAAACGGCACACGGTGCCAGGCCAGCCCTGCGGGAGCCTCGGTCGGGCTCCTGGACTCAGCCACCTGGTGGGGCGGGGTGAGGCCCGGTTCTCGGGGCCCTGCCCCCACTCACCAGGCTGGAGGTGAAGCGCTCCTTGATCTCCCGGACCAGGGGCTGGATGCCGCTGGACACCAGCTCACACAGGGTGTCCTCTGTGGGCAGGGAGGGTCCTGAGGCCAGGCCTTCTCCCTCCAGAGCCCCTCCCAGCCGAGCCAGCCCACAGGACCGAGGCGGGCGGCAGGACCTGGCTGGGCCCCCAGCCTGCTGAGGCTTGGCATGAACACCCCGCCTGGGGCTCAGGAGCCAGCACCAGCCAGCCTGGCGCATGGTGGGCACTTGGGTCACGTGAATGGGGCATGTCAGAGGGGTCCCTCCCTTCCAGGGAGAGCTGGGAGTGGGGTGTCCCTGCCTGCGGCGTCCGGAGGGGTGGCGCGGGGGTCCTCACGGTAGGAAGCCAGGTGGACCAGCAGCAAGCACACGTTCTCCGCCACCTCCGGGTGGTCCTTGTGCAGCTCGTACGTGTCCCTGAGGAGGCTGAGGCCGCTGCCCTTCTCCTCGGCCACCACCACCCGCAGCGCCGCCAGCTCTGGGGAGCGAGGGGAGGCAGGATGGGTTTATCCCCTGCAGCCCCCGTGTCCTCTGGGAAATGGGGTGAGTACGGGGCCGGGTTGGAACAGTGGCCTCAGCCGCGGGAGGGGACAGCCTCGGCTTCCTGCAGCCAGGACTCCAAGGTCACCGTTTCCCCACTGCAGGTGCAAAGCTTGTAAAACGTGCCCGGCTGTTTCCTAGTGGGGAGGGCATGGGGTGCTCCACGGCGCCCCGTGTTAGGGGTCAGCCTGTGTGAGCAGTGACCTGGGGTGCCATGTACACGACTCCTCAGGTCCTGGAACCTGGGGGACAGCCAGAGGGGCCAAGACACTTCTCACCCGACTCACTCTGGGTCCTGCCCACTGGATTCCGACAGCCCCGCTTGTGATGGAGCCAAGTCCCTTCCGGCCTCAGCACCTCAGCCGCCCCTCCTGCCCCACGGACCAGGTAGCCTCCCACAGGCTGCAGGTGGGACCGGGCAGGGACAGGCCCGGGCCGTGCCTCCATCAAAGGGAAGATTCTGCCAGCCCTTCAGAGCCCCCGTCCCCCCAGTGAAGGCCCCAGGCCGGCCCTGCTCACCCGACACCTTGACGAGGCTGGCCAGACCCCGGCAGGCATTGTTCACCAGCAGGATGCGGTCCTGGCACAGCCGGAGGCTTTGCAAGAACAGCACCACCATCTCCTCCAACAGGTGCTCCGGTATGCAGCCTGCAGGGGGGGCAGGGGCAGGGGCCTCGGCCTCGTCACCTCCTGGGCGCAGGCCACCCCCAGCCCCAGGGGTCTGGGACCTCACCCAGCAAGGACAGCAGCCAGAGGACCGCACAGCCGGCCTCCGCCATCTCCGTGTCCACCGGGTAGGCAGCCAGCAGCTCCGCGATGAGGCCCGGGGCCTTCTCCAGGGGGGCCTTCTCCGTGATGTCAGCTGAACAGGACGGAGGATGATGCCGGGCCTTGGGCACACGCGGCTCCCCAATGCCACCCCCACCAACGAGAAGCTGTGGGGGCAGGTGCCCTCAGATGGGAAGGTGGCTGGGGTGGGCGTGGGGACTTCCGCACGGGGTGTGAGCAGGGCTCTCCATAGTGAGAAGCCATTTTCCTTGGGCAGAACTACTGCCCAAGTGCTGCTGGGCAAGATGGGGCCCGGATTCCTTTCCTGGATTAAAAATGGGGCGCGGCTCAGTGGCTGAGCATTGACCTATGAACCAGGTCACAGTTGGATTCCTGGTCAGGGCACGTGCCCGGGGTTGCAGGCTCCATCCCCAGTAGGGGGCGTGCAGGAGGCAGCCGATCGCTGATTCCCTCTCATCATGGATGTTCCTCTCCCTCTGAAATCAATAAAGATCTATTTGGAAAAATTAAAAAGTGAGGCCAGAGCCCAGCTAACTTCTGACACCACGGAAGTCAGGACGTGGGTCCGCCCCCTTCTCCTTCCCTCTGCTCCTGGCTCAGGAGACCATGGGCCAGCTTGCCCGGAAGCGCGAGGAGGACGCTCACCATCCACCAGCAGCACCCAGAGCAGGCTCAGGCCGGCCATGCAGACCTCCCTGTTCCCGGAGCAGGTGTCCAGGTGCTCCAGGATGTGCGTGAACAGCCCCGCCTTCTGCAGCTCCTCCGAGTCACACCCTGTTGGGCCAGGAATCCAGGCCATGGAGCCCCTCCTCCAGGAAGCCCTCACTGAGCTCCACCTCCACCCCCTGCTGTCCTCAGGCACTGCGGTCCCATGAGCCCCACACTGCTGGGCCCCCGCCGGGCCAGTGCATGCCCAGCATGGGCCCCAGGAACGAGGACATGGTCCATCCCTCAGGCCACACGTCCCAGCATCTCCCACCCATTCCTGGGCAGCCCAGCCCCAGGGCCGCAGAGCAGGCCGGCCCTCAGATGGCACTCTTTCCCCGCGGGATGACCTGGCACTCTGCGCCAGTTCTGATGGACGTCCCGTGCCCGCGCCCAGCACCCTGGTCCCTCCAGCGGGTTATCCAGGGTCACTCAGCCCTGCCTCCTGCTGAGTGTCTGGGTGCCCTCAGAACCCAGCTCCTGGAGGAGACGCGGCCCGGACCTGGGGAGGGGGTGAGAAGCGTGAGGTGTGTGAGGCCATGGGGGCGGCCTTAGGAGCCCAGGTGCCTGTGAAAGGGGGGTGAGCAAGGCAGAGGGGCAACGAGGCTTGACGTGAAACGGACTTGGGTGTGAAGCCCTGGCCAGTGCCCAGCACATTTGAGGGAACGAGAGAAAGCAAGGGCGAGCGAGGGAAACAGACCAAACGCTGAGCAACGAGCCAGGAGCGGCCGGCACTGCCAGCCCGGCACCCGCCCGGCGGGCAGACCCACCCTGGCTGCAGACGATGGTGAGGAGGCTGTAGACCATGACCAGGAGCTGCTGGGCCTCGGGGTGGCTCCGCAGGACGCTCAGCAGGACCGAGGTGATGGAGCTGCCCTTCAGCACTGTGGTGGCCAGGT